CTTGAAGCCTGAGGAGCCTGGCAGGAGGACGAGGAGACGGGAGAATGTCGGGAAGGAGGCGTAGGGCGGCGGAGTCCATGATGCACTGGCCGCCAGACGCCTCTGCCATCTCCAAGGTGCCAAACATAGCCGATGTGGCGTATGTTTGCTAGCGGCCTCAGCAGGGAGTGTGCCAAGAGACGGCAGTGGTGGTGGTGATGGTGTGGTGCTCGCTGCAGGCCTCGCGGTCATCCCAGGTGACCAGCTTACCTGTAAGACTCCGTCGCGGCCCCTGCAGCGTGCGGTGCTCCGTCGCGGCTCCTGCAGCGTGCGGTGCTACGGTGTGAACACTGTGTCGGTGGCGAGGGAGGTCGTCAGCACATAGTGTGGCGTGGGGCGTGTCGCGGCACACAGTGAGCGCTCCCAGTGTGTATGTGTGTGTGTGTGTGTGTGTGTGTATGTGCTGGCCGCAAACAATACGCGCAGCCTCCCCGTCTTGTTCCACAGCCTCTGCCGGCCACACTGAGTATTCTTACGGATTCCCGTCAGTGGCGGCGCCGCTGCGCGTGACGTCACAGCACTGTTCCCCCATAACAAAACGTGGCGGCGCGCAGCCAATCAGCGCGCGCGGGGCCACAATGGCCGACCAATGGGGAGGCGCCTCCCCCCGCGGCGACCAACCATTGTCAGGATAACAATGGAGGCCACAACAACGGGGGCTGGACCACAATGCCATCACCCACAATTGGTCCACCGACGCAGCTACACCAGCCAACGAAAACTGCCGCTCGGCCCCCTCGCCCGCCGCCAAGAAAAAAGCCGACCATCGTGGAATTTTGTGGTCGCGAATTGGCAAGGAGGGGGCACGGCCGGCCTTTAAACCCCCACCTAACTAATGTGTATTTTTCCCTAGAAATGGCAGTGGTGTGGCGAGTGAGGGGAGTAGCTGGCGTAGCCATTGGCCCCCCTTCCTCCTCCTCCTTCTCCACGTCTTCCCCTACCCCTGCCCCTTCCTACACCTCCTCTTCCATCACTCCACCTCCTCTTCCAACTGCAGCGTCCCAACACAGCCAAGTCCTCCTGTAGCATCCTATAGTTACACGGGCCGCCTTTAAACATGTTTATTGATGTTTCACTCTCTCCCGTGTCTTCGTCCGTGTCGCCTTTGGAAGGAGGAGTCTTCGCTTCCAGCGGCCGCAAGAACTGCCTCAAAAACATTCGGGAATTGTCTCAAGATTCCTTTTAAAGATCAGGTCTTCCATCCCTCCCTCCTACCACCCCTCCTGTCTACGCTACGAGTGGACAGACAGGCGGAAGGCACAGAGTAGCAGGACAGGGAGGGGGAGGGGGCTCTTTGCAACCACCGACCCCTGTGGGCTACGCAACAGGTCTGTCAGGGAGAAGAGCAGAAAACCCTTGGATAAATATCATCCACAGGACAATGAGTTGTAAACGAGAAGAGGACTTCAGCCGAGGGGTCGCAAGAAGAGGCTTAAACTCAGTCTTGACTGACTCTGGAAGGGCAAGTTGACTTCTTGAATATTATATTAAGGAATCATGTTGTAAATATTCAACCGGTGGGGAACAAGTCGTTGATATTCAACTCAAGACTAGAGTTCAACTTTAGGCCGCGATAGGATGTTGAAGTTTCTCCCCCCCCCCTGTTACTTCCTTCAGATTTCTAAACAGTTTCAACCGTTCAACCCGGTTGAATGGCCATTCCCTTGCCTGTGGTCACAGGCGTCTGTGGATCACTTCTCAAATAACTGTTTCATTCAAATTCTAAATCGCATTTTTGCATTTTTCTCAAAGGTTTAAATTTCGCAGGAAATCACTCTTAATGTCTTCCACAGGTCTAAATTTTGGTACGATTCTCTATAATAAATGATAAATGTTTATTTCCATTATCCTCTGAGGCCAACTGTTGGTTAAATTACATTAAATAATTCAATTTTGATTTTGATTACTTCAGCAAGCTAAAACTTTGAATGAAATTTCTTAAACAAACTCAGACTTTGGCTCAGAAGATTTTAATAAGCTTAAAGTTTTCCTGCGAGTATCAGACATAGTTATCATGTGTTTAGAATTGCTTAAACAGGATTATCATGTGTTTAGGGTTACTTAAACAGGATTATCACGTTTTTGGGATTGCTTAAACAGGATTATCACGTGTTTGGGATTGCTTAAACAGGATTATCACGTGTTTGGGATTGTTTAAACAGGATAATCATGTGTCTGGGATTACTGAAACAGGATTTTCACGTCTTTGGGATTACTTAAAGAGGGTTATAATTTGTAAAGGATTACTTAAGCAGGATTATCAGTTGTTTAGCAATACTTAAACAACATTAATTATTAGATATCGGTTCACATTATCTTCATAGATTGAGATCTTGCTAGAGAAATCTTTGAGAGGAGCAAACCCAACCTTGCCTGGTTCTTAATTACAAAAACACTAAGAGACAAACACTAGAACTGCTATGGAGTCGAGAAATGATCAAATGTGTAAAGGAAAATAAAT